GACCCTTCTTCTGAAGAAGGGTCTAGGCCCGAAACGTCAGCCTTCCTGCTCCTCTGATGCTGCTTGGCCCGCTGTGTTCATCCAGCTCTACACCTTGTTATCTCCGTATTTTGGTAGTTTGGCCCAGTTTGAATCTTATGAGTGTGAGGTTTAGTTATGGATGCCTCCTTGCTGAGGTTAGCAAGGGGTGCACCTCGGTCTGAGAGTGATAACAATGCTCTTATCCTGTCTAGACAACTGGAGTGGAAGTCTTTGTTAATTCGGTACCCATCCCAGACACTGCTGACTGTGTGGTGAGTATTTAAAAAGTAGCCATTCTGTTTGAATGAGGATTCTGAGATGTTTTCAGTGAACAGATGTTGATCTTTTTTGTTTTCGTTTGCCCTCCCTGTGTCCAGGAACTCTTCTTATTTGATTCTTCAGGGAAAGAAATCTTCTACGACATGGTGGAAAGCCAGGTACTGAGCTCAGTTAGTGGGTTTCTTGAAAATATTTGATCCTTTAGTCCCGTCCCTGGCAGGACATGCCCCCCCCCGCTCCCCCCCCCCACCACAACCCATGACTCTCTGATATGAGGTGCAGTGGCTAAAATACTGAACGGGAACACACGGAGGGGAGGTTGAGGCCTCACAGAGAGCACAGACATCTCATCTAGTCCACCCTTGTACATTGTATAACAGATTTATCAGCACCTCGACATCCACTAAACCCCAGTGGAAACAAGTTATCCTCAAATCCCGAAGGGCTGCCCAAAAGGATGTTACTGAACTAGTAACACAGAGAAAGTGAGTTCCGATCCTACTGTGGCAGTGTGACTTGTTAAATGCGACTATACAGCAATAAGTAAGAGTTATCTCTAAGTTGTTAACCGCTCAGTGGAATCACTTTAAGAAAGGAAACCTGCTAATATGTCCTGGCTGGCCCATATCTGACTCCAGACAGCTACCAACCTGCCTTCAGCTTTTACAGATTCTTGAAGAGCCAGCAATTAACTCAGTCATTGTGTGCGGATTATTAGTTCAGAAAGATGAAAGCTGTGTTTGATATTTTATTGCTCAATGTGTTGGTGTGCTTGTGGTGAAGTTGGAACTTGCTGTCAGCCTCTCTGATTTGGAGTATCGAAATGAAGACTGAATCTTTTAGTCAATCAGGCCTGTCTTTGTGAATCACTGGAGTCTACAAGAGGGTAATGAGTGCACTCCCCTGTCCTTTTAAACTTTGTGTTTCCTTCTTTTAAACAGTGGGAGCTTGCGGCTGCTGTTTGTCTTGTGTACGACATCACCAATGAGGCGTCCTTTAACAGTTGCACAAAGTGGCTGGAAAGGGCCCGAACACAGGCACCTACTGGCCAGCTGGCAGGTCAGTGTCTCTCTGTCTCTGAGAATGCCACTGTTTAATGTAGGAAAGTTGCACAGTGAACCTGGTACCTCAAACTGTCAATGCCTTTGATTGTTTTGTAGGAGTTCTTGTGGGCAATAAGACTGACTTAGCAGGTAGGCGTACTGTAGAGTACAGCCAGGCTCAGGAATGGGCAGCGGGCCAGGGCATGGAGTACTTTGAGACCTCTGCGGTAAGTGAAGGGGATAATCCCGACTTTCTGTTTCTCCTCCCCTTCTCACCATTGCAGCAACCCGTTGTTCTGCAGCCTGAGAAACAGCTAGCAACTCTATGCCAGTCTAACTATCATCATCAGCGGTTCCTCGCATGACTCTCTTCCACTCTCGGGGTGAGTCCATAGGTGGCTGTACAGACTGACATGGCTACTGCTGGCTCTGTTACTCTTGGGGCAGGTGGTGGTCACGGGAAGGAGTAGGTGGGGCATTGGTGTGACAGCGTACTCCTTTCGCTGTTTTCGCCTGGCTTCCATTTTTTTCCCCAATGACAAGTCTTGAGGTGCCTGACGCCTTCCGAGAATGTCGTCTTCCATTTTGGATAGTCTTGGGCCAGCGATTCCCAGGTGTCTGTGGGAATGCTGTACTTCACTCGTGAGGCCTTGAGGGTATCACTGAAGCGCTTCCTTTGTCCACTAGGGGCTCCCCTGCCATTTTGAAGCAGGGAGTAGAGCACCAGCTTGGGGAGACTTGCGTCGGTCATGTGGACGATGTGCTCAGCCCTTTGTAGCCAATCAAGGGTGGTCAGTGCTCACTATCAACAAGACTGTGGAGCACCTTTCTCCATCTAGGAAACATTTTACAGCTGACAAAATGTGTGTGGTATTCCCTGGGCATTGACCTTGGAAGGTCAGTTTACACTTTGTGCTCAAATACCTGAATTGCGAGTCCCTGAGACAGGGATTTGAAACAGAATGGAAGAAATTGTTAATAGGGCAATTGATGATTAGATTATAGGTATTTGGGGACAGTGGGTGATTTGATTAGGCTTCTTGTTGCAATTTGGCTGCATCAGTTTTTGTTCTGTCTTGTTTTACAGAAAGAGATGGAGAACTGTGATGCTCCATTTCAGAGTCTTGCCAAAGCGTTTCACCGCACGTATGAAGAGAAACTAGAACATATCCGATCCATCATCTGACCCTCTTTCCCCCCACAGGCAGGCCTTGCAGAGGCTTTGCATTATACCCAAAAACATCCCCCCCACCCTCCATTTCATATGTGAAGGCATAGCATCTCTTGCCCACTCCAGAGTGTAGCATTCTGTGTTGACTCTTGTATTTTCTATTTCTCCTGTGACCCATCCTGGCCTGAGCTGGGCCACACTCTCCTCTTTACATCTGTCTGTTTCCATGTGTTTGTCTGTCTGTTTTGCTTCTAATCTCTGCACAGTAACTCACCCTGGGTAAGAGAGAGGTGAAATTAGCCTGGCTTCATAATGTCTCTGTCTCTGTCCCTCATGCTCTCTTTCACGCTCTCTCTCTCTCTGCACACCCTGTATGTCAAACAGAAGATCTGTCTGGAAGAGGTGCTGTGTGATTCACTGCAGCACTGGATACAGATGCTGCATTTTAAGCAGCAGTTAAGGACCTGTAAAAGCTTCAAGCTTCACTTCAGATGGGAACTGTTGGGGTGGGGTTTGTGAAGAGGTGTGTGGAGTTCTTGTTACCATTGGGGAACAGTTTCCTGTAAAGTAACTCAGCTGATGTGACTGTTATTCCACCTGCATACCTTGGCCAATACAGATATTTAGGTTGGCAGGCAACAGGCTTCTGATTCCCGAGATTCTGAGTCAGAGTGGAGGGAGAGGCCCATTTCCATTAGTTGTTGCTTTGTTATTAGTTTTCAAGCTCCCTATTTGCTTTAATGGAGTATCTTTACTTTCACAGAACAGTTTTTATTAAAAAAAAATCCACTGCACAACATTTGCTTTGCTGTAAGAGTTCTTTACTTTTTGTAAACAACACAATTTTTGTTTTGGAAAAGCATTTTGATAACCACCTCACAACATCAAGGTATGTTTTTAAGCCAATAAAGTGCTTTGACATTTGCTCAGGGATACATATTGGTCAAGATGCTGGGAAGATTTCCCCAGCTCCTCTTTGAAATGGTGCCATGGGGATCTTGCTGTTGAGCAGATTCATTGTGTTCTTTGAAGCTATGGGGGAATGCTGCACTGACAAAGTGAGGGTTAAAACATCCCAGCAGTAAGCTGCTGGACATTGTTGTATTTAATGACTGCAGCCATGCTCGGAGAGGTTAGTTTAGATTGTGTGGAATGTAAGACTCTGGGCTTTGGTTCTTAGAGCGTGGAATGCAGATTCTGTCCAACCAGGCTCTGGCTAAAGCTGCAATGACTGGTGAAAGCTGTAAAGAGTAGTAGCCAGTTGGAGCACACTGCTCTTCCAGCAAGCTAAATAATTACAGCTTTAGGGAAATTAAAACATAGCTGGACCCCTTTCTGTCAGGATACCGTATTGATCACGTTGATGTGCAGATTAAGATATTTAAAATCAATATTGTAGAGTGGAAATCTTGCCAGTCTAAACATAGGACTGCGCACAAGGAATCAAACCTGTCACTAAAGACAAAGTAAAGAAGCCCAGTCCTGTATAGATACATAGGCCATTTCTCTTCCTGTCGAGCCCACTGTTCTGTTTTATTATCTAGTTTTGAGATTACACCAAAATTTCTTCTCTTCTAAGTGTTGAGGCAGCTGGGTAAAAAATATCAATTCCTATATACTGGCATTGGACACAGTCCAGAGAGATGTTGATCCCAGGTAAGGAGGGATTTTCTTATGAGGAAAGGTTGGGGAGGTTGGGCCTGTACTCGGAGTTTAGGAGAGTAAGAGATGATTTTATGGAAATATTTAAGATTAGCGGATTTAACAGGGTAGATGTGGAGACGTTGTTTGCCTTTGAGGGAGAGTCTAAGGCTGGAGAGCTTTCAGAGAAAAGGATCACTGATTTAAGATAAATATGAGGAATTTCTTCTCTGAGAGGGTAATAAACTTGTGGAATTCTTTACCACAGAGGGCTGTTGAGGCTGAGTCATTAAGTATATTCAAGGCTGAGACAGAATTTTAATTATCTTGGGTTCCTGTTCCTGATCACTGTCCAGTGATCCCTGCTGAATGGCCCATATGGGAGTAACAGGATCAGGTTCAGCTGTGAAAGCTATCAGAAATGAATGACTTACTGTGCTGTTTAGACTCTCCTGTGATGAATAGGAAATACGAGCAGCAGTAGGCTATTTGGACCCTTTCACTCTTCAACATTCAATTAGATCATGGCTCGTTGACCTCAATGCTGTTTTCCCGCATGGCCCCATTTCCCTTGCTTTCTTTAATATTTAGAAATCTGTTGACCTCTATATTGAACGTTCTCAAGGGCTAAGTCAGCACAGTCCTCTGAAGTAGAGAATTCCAACAATGCACCGCCCTCTATGTGAAGAAATTTTTCCTCATTATTCTGAGACTTTGTTTCTTGGTTCTCAATTCCCCACCTGGGGTAAACATCCCACATCTATCCCAACAAGCCCCATTTTAAAAAAATGTTTTGAAGAGATCAGCTCACATTCTTCTAAATCCTAGAGAATTTGGGGCTAGTCTCCCCAATTTCTCTTTATGGGGAAGTCAGCTGTTCTAGGAATCAGAGAGGTGGACCTCCATTGCACTTCCTCTATGGCAGGTATATCCCTCCTCACAACAACACTCAGAAGCTTGACACCATCCAGGACAAAACAGCCGTGAGATTGGCACCACATCCACAAGCATCCACTCCGTCCATCACCAACACTCAGTACACACCGCTGCTACTATCTACAAGATCTTCATACAGCACCTGCCAAACCCATGACCCCACTCCCATCGAGGAGCACAAGGGCAGCAGATACATGGGAACACCACCCCCTGCAAATTTTTTGCCAAGCCACTCACAATCCTGACTTGGAAATATATCGGTACTCCTTCACTGTCGCTGGGTCAAAGTCTTGGAATTCCCTCCCTAAGGGCATTGTGGGTCACCCTATAGCAGGTGGACTGCAGCGGGTCAAGAAGCTCCCCACCACCTTCTCAAGGGGCAACTAGGGAGAGGGTAATAAATGCTGGACCAGCCTACAATGCCTGCATCCCACAAATGAATAAGGAAAAAAAAAAGGAAATTTAAAATTGCACACATTATGTGGGCTATGATCTCACCAACATGCTATACAATTGCAGCCAGATGCTTTATTCCTGTACTCGAATCCTCTTGCAATAATGATCAACATACAATATTAGCCTTCGTAATTATCTGTTGTACCTGCATTTAAAAAAAAAAGTACTCATGGGATATGGATGTCGCTGGCTCGCCCATCTGAAATTGCCCAGAGGGCAGTTAAGAGTTAACCACATTGCTGTGGGTCTGGAGTTACATGTAGGCCAGACCAGGTAAGGATGGCAGTTTCCTTCCCTAAAGGGCATTAGTGAACCAAATGGGTTTTTTCTAACAATCGACAATGGATTCATGGTCATGAGACGTTAGATTTTTATTGAATTCAAATTCCACCTTCATCTGGTATTGTGGGATTTGAACCAGGGTCCCCAGAATATTAGCTAAATTTCTGGATTAATAATCCAGCAATAATACCACTAGGCCATTGCCTCCCCAACATTATGCTATGTTTATATAACAATATGTTAACTTTCAGTGACTCATTAGCAAGGACAAAAATAAATAGAATAAAATATAAATAAAATAAACAGAAAATACTCACCCATCGTTCTACTAAGCTTTACCATCAAGAAACCTTACAAATTATGCCAGTTTGAAATGAGTGAGAAAAACACTTTGCACTGATTGATTACCCATTTTTCTGCCACTTCACACTTTGATTTTTCTCAGAATGGTCAGTTTGTGGACCAGTTTGGACGATTTACTATCTCAATTTACGGCCTTCCCCCCCCTCTCTCCTTTTGGTGCTGCTGACTGTGTTCAGGTCCTCCCTTTGAGTGTATGGAAGAGTAACCAGCAATGGCTCTGCTAAACTGGGCTCACGTGGGACTGCACAGTCAATTGGACGCAACCTGCAGTCCATTAAAATCTTTTCCTGTAATGTACCATGTGTGGATGCTGTGCAAAAAGAATGGTTTGATACATTGGAACGTGCAAGCCAGGTACAATAAAGCAAGTATAGCAGGGGAACAAAAGCAGTGAAACTCAGCAGGATCTAGCAGTATCTGTGGAATGAAAGCAGAGTCAAAATTTAGGGCCTGGTAACCCTCCTTCAGAAATTTAAAGGGGGATATTGGTAACCTACTTCTAAGTGGGCTCAGCCTTGAGGGATGGGAACACGTGTGGAGCGTATTGGATTTGAATAGACTGTACTATGAGCACTCTGTAATTTGCTGTATGGTAATCACTGTTTGTGGGTAAAGGGTTGGATGGAAGCTGGCAGATTCAACCTTTCAAAACAAAAATATTCTTTCCAACTTTGCAAAACAATTAAAAATGCAGATAAGGCACTGGGACTTATATAAACATGTAAATTTATATTTTATTCATTCACGAGACGTGGAAGTCAATGGCTGGCCCAGTGTTTATTGTCCATCCCTAGTTGCCCTTTGATCAGAATAGCTTGCTCGGTCTATTTCAGAGGGCAGTTAAGAGTCAGTCCCATTGCTGTGGGTCTGGAGTCATGTGTAGGCCAGACCAGATATGGATGGCAGATTTCCTTCTTTAAAGGATAATGGTGAACGAGATGGGTTTTTACAATAATCGACAATGGTTGCATGGTTGTCATTAGGCTAGCTCTTTATTCAGATTTTTATTGAATTCAAATTTCATCATCTGCCATGTTGGGATTTGAATCCATGTTCCCAACATTAGCCTGGCCTTCCAAGCCACTGGGTCCCCTCAGTATAACATTAAAAAACCATGCAGTTATGTTAAGAGAATCAGAGATAGTAGGAACTGCAGATGCTGGAGAATCCGAGACAACAAGGTGCAGGGCTGGATGAACACAGCAGGCCAAGCAGCATCATAGGAGCAGAGAGGCTGACGTTTCGGGCCTAGACCCTTCATCAGAAAAGCTTTTCTGATGAAG